GAAATCCGGGCTGGAGCAGATTTCGTTTTGGTATTCAGCCTGTCGGAACGATATCGATACATATTGACGATAACGGGCACAGTTATATGTACTTGTTTTATTCTATACCAGGCGTGATTGATGAAAAGAACGTGAAAAAAATCAAAGAATATTCTTTTCTTTTTTAAAATAAAATTATAAAAATTTATTTTCGTTTCTTGTTTCTTTTGGATTAAAATAACTCTACCGAATGGTTTAACACCCCTTAACCGCTCATGCTCGTGTCTCACACGTGCACAACTAATCCTCGAGAAAGTGCAATTTTGCTTAATTATTCTCTTTCACTTTTCATATTGCGCTGTCCTTTCTATTTTACGGTAAAAATGTATGTCAGAACATTTTAAATAAATGGGAAACTTATTTCTACCAGCGTAGGAAATAATTAAGAAGAAATAAAATTGATCATTTTTGGCACATCAAGTTGAGAAAAATGTGAGCGTTAAAGGGGTTAACAGAATTCTCTTCGACAGTGGATACCTTTTCACCGAACATCGATTAATTTTCGCCTGTTGTGCACTACAGTTGTGCTAGCCGGGGTGTTGCATACGTACAGGGGTGGCCCAATTCAAGATGGCCAGGAGTGGGGGAAGGTTTATTTCGCGGGGCAATTACACGCTTGTTAACTGACTGTGGTTGAAAAACGATGGTTGTATGTACTTACGTCCTCGTGTGCATAATGCGTGCAGCAGAATCTTTTTTTGCCCCGCACTGTATATTGTATTATCGTGTTCTATAAATTATATTTATTGCGTAATACTATATTGTCTTATTGTATTATAGAATACACAGGACAGGATTCACAAAATGACACAAACACGAGTGATTTGTTATCACGTTGACAGTCACGCTGGTTACCTGTGACTGGAGATTGTTTCCTCGATGGAGCCACGGTAGTCATCAATGACCAAAGTGCTTCAAATGTTTAGAATAATTAAAATAAAATGAATATCGTCGACTAAAAATTTCGAACATCATAGCTAACTAGATATTATTTTGAATTAAAAAGGAACATAATAATAATAATAAAGCATAATAAGCATAATGAAAATTTTTTTGTGGCCGCCTGAGAGCTACATGTAAATCTAGCATGGCAGTCAACGTGCTAACCCCCAGATGCCGGGTCAAATATGACCCAATAGTAAAATCTTTTTCGTACTCAAGCGAATCCACGCTTTTTAAAATTTTACTAGTCGTTATACTGTTTGGGAGTATAGAAACGTATTATGAATAAAATAAGAAACATTTGTAATATAAGAAGAGAAGAGTCGTGAATCTATTTCAAACAAACAACAGTTAAACAACAAACTTATACAACACAGAAAACGTGTTCAGTTCCTCTTCTAACTTCCGGCGTGAGCACCAACAGGCAATGAAATTATACACGATAGTACAACTGCAATTAATTAAATTCAGTTCCAAAGCAGCCGACAATATACAAATGATATTTTCATAGGAGATTTATAAGGATATACAGAATGAGAGCACAGCATGGTTTTTGCTGCAATGTACTTTCTATTAAATATACAATAAAAAAAAAAAAAAAAAGAAGCAGAAATTGTTTTTCTTTTCTTTCGTTTTATCTCCACGAAGGAATTCGCGGGTTACGAGTTCGGAAAGTTGCAGCACGATTAAAAGAGGCAACGTTTAGGGGTGGAACAAAGGAATCTAATTACTGGCAACTTTACTCGTCACAAGTGGCCCGCGACAGAACCGTAACTCGAGCTTCTGAAAACAATGGGATAAAGTGCGAGGCAAAGCGACAGAGCCGCGGCTTTCTTCCGGAGTTTAACCCATTTCTGGGAATTTTTTTTTTTCGTCGCCATGGAATGCAAGGATACGACAAAAGAAAACCGCTGAATAAACATTCGCCCCTTTCCTCCCACCCCATTCTCGCCACTTCTCGTCCTTCGCGTCTTCTTTTATTCCAGAGAAATTTTTTATGAATTCTTCTCAACGTCAATGACGTAAATATATAATAATAATTAATATACTCGACGACACAGTTGTTACTTTTCGATGTACCTGGTGAAAAATAATCCTTCTGAAATATTCGTTGTACGAAATAGCGTGTGAAGCAAAAGTTGCATGATTTCAAGGGGCACATACAGTGACTCCCACTAATATTCGGGCACTATTTAAAACATTGTAACTTTTTTAAAATTGGACCAAATGACCTGAGTTTTTTTTGAGAAGTTAGAAGGATTAGTATACCAGATGACGTGTACAAAATATTTCGAAAAAATTGCAATTTGTGGGAATTGCGAAAAAAATTGTAAAGGTCACTGTTTACAACTTTTTTATCCGAGCTTGTAATGAAAATTTAAAACGTACGGTTTTGCACATGCTGAAAATTTCATCGAGTATTTCTGACAATTGTTTCTATACATAAAATTTTGAAATTATTTAAAAAATTAAGGAGAAATTCAAGTTTTCAGAAATTAAGAGAGCATTAAAAGCTGAGTAAATAAATATTAAGGTGTAATATGTTTAAAATGAGTATTTATTGAGATATGCACGACAGAAGTTCTATTCTATTGAAATCGAATTCACACAAAAACACGCAGAAGTATATATCTCTACCAGTAAATTTGATTTACGGTTTGGTAAATTCGGTGGAGTAAATGGTTTACGAGAAATTTCAGGTCGTCAAGTTAGGTGAATCACCCTGTATATACTCAAGGAAACGAACGATCAGTGTATTCTACAATTGTAAATATGAAAAAAATGTTATAGAAACGTGGGTCGTTTGAAACTTTATTTAAAATTTCTAGCAAATATAGGAATTACAAAGGGAATGGTAACGAACTTGCGGTTACTGTTACATAAGACAGAAATGACGCCGAGAGAAGTTAAATTCAACACCTTGAACGACCTCAGATAGTAAACACAAACTAGATGCAAACATCTCTGATCTATTTCTACTTTATATTACAGTAACCGAAAGTTCGTTGCTGTTCCCCTCATACTTTTCTTATAATTTTTTAACGAAGTTTCAAACGACCTATGTTTGTATAATATTTTTTTCTTATTTATACCCAAAGAAAGTACCGATAAAATTTAGCCGGAAAACAAAATTTCATCGTAAAATTTAGTTATCGTTCTTCTTGAATAAAGAAAAAACCTCTTACAAAAAATCTTACCTCGAGTTAATCTCTATTGAAAAATATAAAACGTAGAAAAACTGAACACCTTCTCAGCGTGGTTTTGAAATTCGTTCTTTTCTCCTGGGGAAAAATCTTCGAAGAAGTGTCCAATTCGTAGATTGGCTTAGAAAACAGAGTGTAGAGGGGGAATGTTAGCATTTTCCAGCCGAGGAATTAGCAAACGTTGGGCCGTGGAAGTGCAAACCCCGACGTCGAGGAACTCCCAGCTTTGAAACGGGACACTTTCGAGCCTCAAGTGTGCTCGAGGGATTATAACTTCGCGCATCCCTGCCCGCTGCCAAGATCCAGAAACTTTCCCAACCCTCTCTCTCTCTCTCTCTGTAATGCCAGTGGAAAGTTTCATCCGGTCTCGACAGAATTTACACAACTTCGGAAACCGCCAAACAAACTTCCCCGTAAATCGCCATTTTTTCCCTCCATCTTAGACTCTTCTCGATTCAATCGAGCGTAATTTGGCCGATTCTATAAAAATCTTCCCATTCTTGCCAGACGCAAAATAATTCGTGTAACTTTTCTTCAAATTTCTTCAACTATCTTTCAATCAATGTTACATAGCCATTTTGAAAAATTTTTTCAAATGATCATTCATACAATAAATACTGTAGCATTGTACACTACCAAGTAAGTGTACTAGTTACCACACCAATTACTTTTAGTTACTATATGTATGAATGGAGAAAAATTGTAAATGATTTTTCCAACAAATATTCTATCAAATTCTAAAGTGACAGAACTTTTGTTTTATGGATTTTTGACAACAAAAGTGCATAATATAATATAGTGAAAAAATATGCTTATTTCTGTTATTTTTTTATGTTATTAATTTTCTTAAGATTAGACAAGTCCACATATTCTATGTATTATTTAACAACGCAAATACTAGATATTAGATACCATGCAGTAAGCAACAGTAAGCCAAATACTAGTACTAATACCTCATACATTGGCAATGGATTTAGCATCAAATACTACACACTACATGTATAATACCCACTAAAGTTGTCAATTTCTCCCTATTTCTCGACTCTACAATACCACTCGATTCGATCAAACCATCATTTCCCTTAATTTACCAAAACATGTTTAATCCACGTCGATAAATGTTTATGAAACGTCAATGGTTTCCGTTTACACACGGGCTGCTTTTATTTATCCGCCACACGACCGAAGCTATCCGGACAATATTGACGCGTTATCCGTGCAAATGAAATTCAATCGCGAAAAGAAAAGAGAGAGGAGAAAAAAGAACAAACGACAGGATACGTCACAATATTCAATCACACTCCCCATACTACGCACGTTAATACACCGTATCGTAAGGTAAACACTCGCGCCAATAAGCCTCGATATCTACGACCGATTTCCGTCTCGCTGCACAACATAACGGCAATTTCATACGTTCACTAGCGACACTAGAAGAAATCGAAGAACCAATAACCGACACGCCACTACATCGTCGATAAGATACGGAACGAATTTATTTTCATGCACGGATAACATCTATGGGTTACCAATTTATTATACCATCTTGGAATTATTCTCCCTGTGTTTTCGTTCCTCTTTTCAGAAAATTAATAACTCGTTTGTTCAAAAAGGATAGAGAAAGAACGCAACTTGTCAACGAACCCAGCACGTAAGTGTACGTGGTAAGTGTGTGTACAGTGGTATTGCGACTTACCCTCGAAACCTAACCTGACACCGCCCAGTGTCACTATGAAGCCGCTTTATACTGTTCCTTCAAGAGCTGTCTTGTTTCTGCGGACGCAGGGTTCACCGATGATTCACACTCGTGAAACGTCGTGACACAACGGCTCGTTCCTCGCAAAACACGCGAACCGCAACACAAGCCAAGAAAAACCGCGACTTCGTCCCATCGTGAGACAGGGACTGCCTTCTATGCGGGCTGTGTCGGCTGGAGTGCAGGGACGAATCCAGGGACCTGGTCGCCACTGGAGATTGCTTTGCCTGCGACATCAATTTTTTTGGAACATTTATTTCTTGTGAATGTTTCAAGTTGAATGGCTTTGGATAATTCTGTGACATAACTTTGAAATTTGTACGAGAATCGTTGGACTGTGGAAATTTATGGGATTTGTAAATTTATAATTTCGATGTGGAAACTATTTTTCAGACGGTAGAAAAGAATCGGTGAATTCTTCGAAATTCTTCGAAATGTACGAAAGTATCGTGTTGTTTTATAATGAAATGTAGTATGTGTGAAGTGTGGGTGTTCTTAATTGTTCTAAGTCGTGGAAAAATTGATGATATATTGTGTTAGTTTTCGTTGTACACGAAGTTGCTTGAAAACACTTCGAAGTGTACGAAAATATTTCTCTATTCTACAATAAAATATTAATATTAAGAAATATGAGTATTTTTATTATTTTTTTCGGATCCAAAAAAGAAAATTGTTTTAGCTATAGAAAAATTCCTAACAAAAATTTCTCAACAAATTTCGATCTATTAAACATCTTTCGACAATTCCTTCAACTGTGAAAAACTACTCTTCCATATTACCATGATAAAAGTGATTAAATGCACGTGTTTATAAGTGAAAGTACTCATGTATTCTTTCATGAATATAATTTACGATTCTTTTTGAAGTACCCTGGTGCCCCAATGGAGTAGCCATGACTGGCGCACCGCGTATGCGCAGTTCCCACGTGCATCTGTGACAGAATTGAGCATGTGTTTCCCTCTTCGTCAAATTAAACCACGAAAACGATGAATTATTAATTGAAACCTGACGAACGTCGCCGGCAGATCTCAAACAGGGATTATTTCTTCCGTTTCGAGCTTATTGTTTCTCATATCCGGATTCGTTTCCTTCGACGAAGACGGAAAATCAATGATCCTATCGTTGACGACGGAGGAACTCAATTACCCGCTGAAAATTCGTATCAGCGTGTTTTCAATCGGGCACTGATTTGTTCCAATTGAAACCAATAATTTTTCGACAGTCCAATTATATCCGGGAAAATTCATTAGCATCGAAAGGTTTGCAACAGTGCGGGAAAAATCGTAATTTCAAATTTGAATTTGGAAAAAATTTAAAATAATGCAACAGTTCGACAATGGATAATTCAATTTATCGCTGTTATTGGTTATAATGGACCATGGCGAGTTTTGACGAGATTTAAAATCGCAAATGACGTCTGGTGACTTTAAAATTCCACTTTAAATCCAAAGGTACAGTGAAGCGAAGGAGTACTGTATTCCTCGGCGATCAAAGACAGAGCACCGATCGCGAACTTCGCCAATTGCCAGGTTTCGCGAAGTTTCACGGGACCAACCGTGAGAAAGGCCAATTCTAACCACTGGATGCTCGTGTTTTCAATGGAAATGATTGAATTATGGACAGCCCAACCCCTTTGCCAAATTTCTATCCGCTTGGAGTGTCTGAAAGCTGGCTTAACCTGGCCTAACCTCACTTTTCCATCGACTCCAGCCTGTAGATCGAACCGAACGGTAAAACTTAACCTATAAAAATTTTATTCTTCGCTCTGACGAATCTTAGAGTCCCACCAGGGACGTAGACTATGGGAAAAGAAAGGGTAGCGCGTTTGTGGATGTACGATTCGTGATTAGGGTGTTCAAAGGTGGAAATTAGGGCGCAGAAACGAGAAATGGGGTGGCCATTGAATTCGT